GTCTCTTGATGAAACTGAAAGAGAGGAGTGAAAACGCTGGCTTCAAACTCAGCATTCAGAAAACTAAGATCATGGCATCCAGTCCCATCAGTTCATGGCAAATAGATGGGGAAACAATCGACACAGTCACAGACTTTATTTTCTTGGGCTCCAAAATCACTGCAGATATTGACTTCAACCATGAGAGTAAAAAATGCTTGCTCCTTGGAAGGAAAGCTATGGGCAATGTAGACAGCATAATGAAAAATAGAGACATTACTTTGCAGACAAATGTCTCTCTAGTCAAAGGTATGGTTTTTCCAGCAGTCATGTATGGATGTGAGAGTTGAACCATAAAGAAGGCTGAATATCGAAAAATTGATGCTTTTGAACTGTGATATTGGAGAAGACTCTGGGAGTCTCTTAGACTGCAAAGAGATCACACCACTCCATCCTAAAGGAAATCAGTCCTGAATATTCATTGGAAGGACTGATGCTGAAGCTGAAGCTCCAATACTTTGACCATCTGATGTGAAGAACTCATACATTGGCAAACATCTTGATGCTGGGTAAGACTGATGGCAGGAGGAGAAGGGGACGAGAGGATGAGATATTTGGATGGCATCACTGACTCGATGGACATGAGTTTGAGCAGGCCCTGGGAGTTGGTGATGGACAGGGAAGCCTGGCGTGCTGTAGTCCATGGGGTCCCAAAGAGTTGGACACGACTGAGCGACTGAACTGAACTGAACCAGACCCACTCCCGGGATATAAATTCTAAGATATCAGGATTAGTCAGGAGGTTTTCAGGAAGGATAAACTGTCCTCAAGCAGGATACATTATTGTTGTATAATCCCTAGTACAGAGTTTTAACCAAGTTGTTTGCTGTTTAATCTTCAGTTCTGGACTTAAAGAAAAAGTAATGTGTCTAAGACACATAACATTAAAAAAGTCATTTTATGTGTCTAAGACCAAGGACTGTCTACAGTCCTTTTTGTCCTTTTCTATTTGTCCTTTTCTCCTCTTTGAGAATTCCAGACCCCTATCTCCTATTCAAGACCCCTCTCTCCCCTACCCGCCCCCTTCTCCTCAGGGACCCGACTTCTTATCAACCTGCCTAGGAATTGACTCTCACAGAAGGAGGCAGAGTACATCAAGGAAGAAAAAGGTTACCAGCATAATGAATTATCCTGAAGCCTTTCTTTCTAAATTCATACATGCCCATTTTCCCTAAATAGGTGAGATTTCAAACTATTCTAGGAATCAGAAAATTCTCAGAAAATTCTAGAAATGATGGAACCAAAAGCCAGTGGGTAGATAAGGGATTCTGGAAGGAAGTTGTCCTCACCCAAGTAGGCCAGGTTCCTACAGTTCTTTAACATCACGTCCCTGTACAAGGTCCACTGAAAATTTTCTGAAAAACTCTGGACCACTTGAGTTGAGTGGTCCAGTTGAAGCCCAGTTGAGTTACTGGGCTTCCCAGCTGGCTCAGTGGTAAAGAATCTGCCTGCCAATGCTGGAGATGCGGCTTCAGTCTCGGGATGGAAGAAACCCCAGGATGAGGAAATGGCAACCCACTACATGAATACTTGCCTGGAAAATCCCATGGACAGAAGAGAGTTGGTTCTATGTATAATGGCATTTTCAAACTCGGTGTTAAATATCTAAATTACATCTAGGTGCTAAGTCATCACTGCATTTCCCAACGTCCCTAAAATCCCAACACCAAACCACATCCCAGTGGGAGTGAGGATAGGAGTGACTCCCCATGCTGATCTCTCACAAAAAGAATAGTTTCAACAGTTGAAAGTCGCTGCTTCATGATGAGAATTCATCATGCTCCATAGAAAGTGAGGATGCAGACAATGGAGAAAAGTCTCTGGCACACAAGGAAGTAGTGTAAAGGGCAGGTCTTCACTAATATAAGAGGAAATGGGAAAAATAAGATGATAACAAATGCCCGGGAAGACAAATTAGGAGGAGAGAGCTAAAGGCTTGCATGTTCTCATCTGGGCATTTCTGGAGGAAAAGCAGACACAGCCCCAGACCCAGGACAGGATATTGACCTGAGAAGCTGCCATTTCCTCCTTTTCTTCCTGCTGCTCTGTCTTCTCTGGGGATGTTACGCTGCAAACGCACTTCTGAGTTTTGAGAAAATATCTTGGAGGGCATCAACAGCTCTTTAACCTGCAACCACCGCTCCTACAGACAGAAGGACCTTGAAAAGCTGAGAAGACCGACCTCTCCTGTCCTCTGTCTCAGGAGAGGTTCAGGAACAATCACTTCCTACCTGGAAACCAGCCTGTGAACTTATTTCTTGATTGGTTTCTCCCCATAAAGCACTCCTAACACTCTGCTCACACAGACAATGTGAGCTGACTGACTTCCTGGTCCAAATCCAGCTAGACCAACCTTGCGGCCTCTCCTCAGACTGACGCCGGGGCTCAGCCCTCACAAATGGACCAGGAGCCACGTCCTTACTCCAGGCCTCTCCTTAGAATGCCCTGGAGGACTTCCTACACACCGCACTGACACTCGCAGAGAACCAACATAGAACTCTGTTGGGAGGGCATCAGTGAGGTCATTTCCTGACACTGGTCTCATGATCCTGATGAGAAACCAGATGGAAACCACTTGGCTAAAGATTCTTTCTGAACCATTTCAATGAATACAAATCCCCGGTGCCCAGGTCCCCACTCCAAGAAGTTAAGAATTTGCAGCTCAACAGTGCTGCCATGAAAGGAGTCATCAGGAAATCCCATTTTTTCTGATGTTTCTTCCCCCAAACCGACGTTCAGGTGTCCTGAGCTCAAAGCCTCACACTCACCGCAGTGAACCCTCTCTGTAGGGGAGGATTTAGGGCAGGAATTTCAGAGCGAGGTCAAAGCTGGAATCAGGCAGAGAAAACACTGGTACTGGCAGTTCAGCCTTTAGAGGTTACCCTGGGAGAAGTTCTGTGGGCTCCCTAGGCGGAGTGTGGATTGCTGAATTCAAGCCAACACAAGCATTCTGGTGAGTACTGTGAGGGTCTTAAAAATCCACAAGACTCCTGGATTCTTAGTCTCTTGAGGAGAAGACTTCAATCTGGAGCCAGAGATGATGCTTGATCACTCAGAGTTTTTGTGTAATAAAGTTTTAATAAAGTATAAAAGAGATAGAGAAAGCTTCTCACATAGACATCAGAAGGGGGCAGAAAGAGTGCCCCCGCACTAGTGTTAGCAAAGGAGTTATATACTTTTAATCAGTTATTACACTGAATCACAAGAATGTCTGGAGGTTGTAAAGACCTCACTGGACACACTCCTATAATTTACATTTTAAGACAACAGGATTAGCCATAAAGTTTTTATTTTTTTTCCAGAAGCTGTCCTCAAGCAGTATAATTTGTTTCATAATCCTAAGGAATGTACAGGGGGGGAAAAAAAATTTGTTCTTTCTTCCTCCTTGAGAATCCCAGACCCCTCTCTCCTTTGGGACCCCCAGACTTATCAACCTGCCTAGAAATTGACTCTCTCGGAGTGATTGAATAGGGGCCTGTGAATAGACCCTGGGGTTCAGCAAGACTGCTGATCTCAAGGAACTGGGTCATCTAGTGCACGGGCTCACAGGACTGGCTGGTGTGAGTTCAAGGACCTGCATGCTGCCTGCTCCCCAGACAGATGCTGAAGCAGCAACAGCATGGAGCAGTTCAGGGAAGCTCTCAACAGTACTCTGTATACTCTTTCTTATTAGAACCATCACAGTGTCCAAGTAGTTACAAAATGGGAAGGAGATACAGCATAGCACTGATGGAATATATCTGAAGTTATGAGAAATTTAAAGCCAGTGAATAAACTAATTTCCACATATGCCATCTCTCTGTGCTACCAAATAGTTCATTGTCGTCTCTTCACTACCACCTTAAATAAGGTGGGTGAGATTGCTGTTGGTGGTGGGTTAATCATTCATTACAATCAACTGAAACACTAAAAGCCATTCACTTTTATTAATAACCATGTATTAATTTCACAGAGAATGGAAATAAAACCTTTTACAATCCATGGTATGATCCACGATTAAATACTGATCAAAAGTACAGAGAAAGATATTCGTTTTAGGATATAATGATGTGAGACTTGTGATTTTTACAGCTTACCAAACAAAGCCTAGGAAGCACTTAGCAAGCATGATATACACTAATTCCATGTCTTTCCCAGGAAGGGCTTCTAATACATTTCTAGGTTATCACAGAAGCTGTCTTTATTTCAACATTGTCAAGTAACAATCATAACTTGTGTTGATATTATAAAGATACATCAATATTGCAGTGAACTGCCATTGTGTTCTTACAAATGAAGGGTATTACTGTTGAAACCTTACAACCAACTTCTGTCTTACTTTACAACATGGAAAGATTAAATGATCACTTACATCACGGCAACCTCCAGATATTTCACATCAATGACAAACACCTCCATTTAGATGGTCATTGTCCATTTAACATCATGGTATCCTTCATCTTCTAATGGAGAATAGATAGAAACGGTTGCAACACAGTATAAAAAGGCTAATCTTTCATAAACCATCAAAAACCTATGTTTGAATGAAGGCATAGTATGGATTACTTGAGTGCTGAGTTACATTCACTTCAAATAATCTCAAATCACGTCATTATTAACAAGAATACATACATTGCTATGAATTGTAACTTTCTAACCATCAACCTTCATCTCACAATTCATGCTAATATATCCATTTTCTACGTGTTTCAAGTATGGAGTACTCCCTACATTCATTCTCCTTCAGAGAAATTTCTGAAAACAAAATTGATGAAATGCCTTCTAGTATGCAATCTATGATATTTATTTCAATTAAACTTTTGATTAAATACTTTTCTACCTATTTGTTACATCACTTGCATAGGTTTTTTGTATAAACTCTTGTGTTTTCCGATGCATGTTTAGGGCAAACCTCTTCCATCACTTGTTCCATTACTACGGTTTCTCTCCAATGTGTATTCTCAGATGTTTAGTGAGATTACCACTATGACTAAAGGCTTTGCCCCATTCTGTACATGTATAAGGTCTCTCTCCAGTATGAATTCGCCGATGTTGAGTAAGCGCTGAGTTGTAAGCAAAGTCTTTGCCACATTCAGTACATGAAAATGGTCTCTCCCCAGTATGGATTCGCTGATGTTTAGTAAGACCAGAACCCTTAATAAAGGCCTTGCCACATTCTGTACATTTATAATGTCTATCCCAGGTATGAATTCGGTGATGTTGAGAAAGATCTGAACTCCTAGTAAAGGCTTTGCCACATTCTTTACATTCGCAAGGTTTCTCTCCAGTATGAACCTGCTGATGTTGAAGAAGACTTGAATTGTGAGTAAACACTTTGCCACATTCTGTACATTTGTAAGGTTTCTCTCCAGTGTGAATTCGCTGATGTTGAGTAAGATGTGAGTGACGTTTAAATGCCTTGCTACATTCTGTACATTGGAAAGGTTTCCTTCCTGTATGAATTTTCCTATGTTTATTGAGATTGGATGGCTTACTAAACACTTTCCCACATATCATACACTTGTTTTCTTTCTGTGGATTGTGAACAGTGTGCTGTTGAAAAAGTTCTGAAGACTGACTAGAAACCTTACCATATTCAGTACAAGTCCTCTCTTCAGTAAAAGTACTCTTATCGAGAGAAAAACCTGACATTTGATCAAAGGCATTTCCATATTTATTACTTTTAGATTCCTTGTTTGAAGATTCGGCTCCCTGATGATTCTTAAGGTTGGCGTCTCCTTCAACGGTATACCCAGTTTCATTGCCTGAATACCTTCTCAGTCCAGCATAAATACTCTTGTAATTATTGGAGCTGGAGCTCTTACTTAAGGTCTGACTCATTTTATTCAACATGCAATGTTGCTGTGTATTAACCACATCACAATATGTATTGAACAATGGTGGTTGGGTTGCATCTCTTCCATTATCATCAACATTATATATCTTGGAATGGAGAGAAAATATTTGTTGGGGGAAGAAAAATGAGCCCCTGCTCACGGATCCCTCAAATTGAATAGATTGTGTGTTTTCCCACTCACTGTTAAATTGTAGGTGTTCAGACATGCTTGAATGTATGTTTAGTCGAAGCCTAAATTCAGAATTATCTGAATGAGGATTTGCAGTAGAGATTAGATTACCTTCCAGATTTTCCACATTTCCTTTCAGAGAACATGTATGTTTCAAAAAGGGATGGAAATCTTTTCTTAAACATTTACACGTCTCGGCAGATATTGAAGACTGAAGTGGGTGTTTTTCCCAATTTGACTCACATTGCTCATTTCTTTTTGCAGTAATGTTAGCATTCTGTGTAACTGTCTCCATGTCTTTATGTCCATATAAGCATACTCTCTGTCTTTCATATACTCTCATATATTCCCAGGCTTTCATTAAATTTAAATTTCTAAGGTGAAATATTTGACATATTCCTAGGTTTACTTTTGGGAATACATCTTCTAACACTGGATTCTTTGGCATCAAGTCCTGGGTGTCTTGTGGACTCATAGCTGAAAGATACCAAATAATAAGTAATTTTACCTACTATTCTCAGTGAATACCTTTAAAGATTTAGAGAAAATTGATGACCATTAGCTAGTTTAAAAATAAAATAGAGACAGAAGGATCGAGATGCCAGAGGCATAGGCAGATGTGGAGATCATCTCTCTCTCTCCACAAATGAAAGAGAAATGGAAAAATTCTCACAGAGCCCAGCTGAACACTAGCAGAGGCCCTTGGAAGTCTAAAAGGACAGGAAAGATTCCTGTTGAGCCAGGTAGGACAAAAGAAAGAAGGAAAAGGAAGAGGAGAGGAAGTGGGATGGGGCCTGCAACCTGGGGGGACATGAAAGTGAGGAGCAGTCTCCACATCCGGGGAACCCCATGTCGGGGAGCTCAGTTTGGACAGAAGGAGAGCCTCATTCTCTGTGGGAGAGAACATGGCAACCCTCGTGTGGCAGCAGGACAGGGAGAGACCTGCACACGGGGTGCTGACCCCTGCGCTGCCCACCCAGCCTGAGAGGCACGCCCACCGCTGCAGACAAGGTCTGGATGCTGAAATGTGGGGTTCACAGGACAGGCCCAGGCAGAGGATTGAGGTTGAATGTGAGGAAACTTCCTGAAGGGATGGGACTGTGGGAGGAGCTCTGCAAATGGGATGCTTGTGGTGGAAGACTGAACCACCAGAGAACAGAGTGGCATTGGTGACTGAAGCCCAACAAAGAAGCCCACTGCATCCCTTGTCCCTTGTGCCGGCCCCTCCTCGCCAAAGACTACGAAGAACTCCACCCACGTAGGTCTTTTGAGCCCCCAGGCACGGCCTCCCCCATCGACCTCCTCCACAATCAGCAGACTCCTGTGCTCTGGGGAAGCTCAGGAGAAGACACCTGTGAGTTGCCCACACACTCAGGGGGAGCTGAAAGCACAGCTGAGCCCCAGGGATGAAGAAGAAAAGCTGACACCTCTCCCTGCAGCAACAGAAGCCACGGTCTCACACCCACGACCGGCTGTGTAACCTCAGCCCCTACAGAACATCTGATTCACCTACCAGCGCTCTCTCAGTTAAGGCAGGGGTAGCTCTAGCTGCTGTAGACTCTGTAGGCTCCCACACAAGGGGGCTGGGCCAGGACAGAGCCTGAGCTGCCCCAGAGCACCACAGAGGGTCCAGCTCCACGTTGAATGCAATCCCAGGACCTGATTTCACTGAATCTATGCCAGTGACATTGTGAAAACAACATCTGCAGGGTGATGTGCCATCATGCCCATGGTTAAGGTGGCGCCAAGAGCAGTGCCTACACGACATCACATGAGAGCCTGCAGAACGCATGAGAGGGGGAACCAGAGTACAGCCTGAGTGAACATCCCCAGAGGAGTAATACTCAGTGACTTTTCTCCATGTGCGGGTGCTCCCGTCCCACATGCCTCGCACCACAGATCAGAATCACAGCTAAGACGCAGATCTTGGGGCTCTATTCCACCACGCAGGGAGCAGGCACCACCAGAGAGAGGGCAGTAACAACCACAGAACAATGGGGAAACAGCCCTGAATATCCACAGCAGGCTCTGGTTACAGTTAACAGCAATCAAAGCCCAGATCAAGAGGATAAGGGCACAAACCTCGGGACCAACCTCATCCACCAAGGTGCAGACACCAGAAGGAAGACTAACTAGGTTCCTGTAGCCTTCAAAAGAGAGACCACAAACAGAACGCTGGATAAAATGAGATGGCAAAGAAATAAGTTATAGGGGAAGAAACAAGATAAAAACCTCCAAGCACCACTGAATTAAGAGGAGTTAGGCAATCTCATGATTACTTCCTGCTTTTAGTCATCTTAAGCGGAGACACCAAACACTTTTGCAAATCCTAGGTGCCTAGTAATTCGTAAATCGACTTCTTACCACACATGTTTCTAAAAATGGTCTATTAGATGCTTCAGCCTAAAAATCATAAGTGATAGTGACAGAGAACTAATCAGAAACTGAGGGCACACAAGACAGTGTCTAAGGAAGCTGAATACAAATAAGATAGACTCAATAAAGTACTAGTTTTAAGAAATACATAAGAGAGATCTTAAAACTATGACTGAAAGAGGGAACTCTACTCATTGCTCTCTGGAGACTTATATGGGAAAGAAAGCAATAGAACAGTAAAGACTAGAGATCTCTTTAAGGAAATTAGAGGCACCGGGAATATTTCAAGCAAAGATGGGAACAGTAAAGGACAGAAACGGGATGGCCCTAAAAGCAGCAGAAGCTATTAAGAGAAGTTGGTGAGAATACATGGAAGAACTATACAAAAAAGATCTTAATGACCGAGATAACCACGATGGTGTGATCACTCACCTAGGAACAGACATCCTGGCATCCAAAGTGAAGTCGGCCTTAGAAGGCATGACGATCAACAAAGTCAGTGCAGGTGATGGAACTCCAGCTGAGCATTTTCAAGTCCTAAAGAGGATAATGCTAAAGTTCTGCACTAGATAAGCCAGCAAATTTTGAAAACTCAGCAGTGGCCTCAGGACAGGAAAAGGTCAGTTTTCATCCCAATCACAAAGAAAGGTAATGCCAAAGAACGCTCAAACTACTACACAATTTCCCTTATTTCAAACAATAGCAAAGGCTCAAAATTCTCCAAGTGAGGCTTTAACAGTACATGAACCAAGAGCTCCCAGATGTCCAAGCTGGATCTAGAAATGGCAGAGGAGCCAGAGATCCAATTGCCAACATCCCTTGGATCATATAAAAAGCAAGAATATTCTGGAAAAACAAGTTTATCTGCTGTTTTGAATACACCACAGCCTTTGATTGTGTGGATCACAAGAAACTGTAGAAAATTCTTAAAGAGATGGGAACACCAGACTACCTACCTGCCTCCTGAGAAATCTGTATGCATGTCAAGAAGCAACAGTGAGAACTGGACATGTTACAACAGACGGATCCCAAATTGGGAAAGGAGTACGTCAAGGCTGTATATTGTCACCCTGCTTATTTAACTTATATGTACAGTACATCATGCAACATACTCGGTTGGATGAAGCTCAAATTGGAATCAAGATTTCAGGGAGAAATATCTGTAATCTCAGATATACAGATGACATCACCCTTATAGCAGAAAATGAAGAGGAACTGCAGAGTCTCCTGATGAAACTGAAAGAAGAAGGTGAAAAAGCTGGCTTCAAACTCAACCTTCAAAAAACGAAGATCATGGCACCGGTCAGATTGTTTCATAGCAAACGTCAGGAGAAACAGTAGAAACAGTGAGAGACTTTATTTTTTTAGGTTCCAAAATCACTGCAGATGGTGACCACAGCCATGAAAGTAAAAGATGCTTGCTCCTTGGAGAAAAAGCTGTGACAAACCTAGACAGCATGTTAAAAAGCAAAAACATTACTCTGCTGACAGAGGTCCGTCTAGTCAAAGCTATGGCTTTTCCAGTAGTCATGTATGGATGTGTGAGTTGGACCATGAAGAACGCTGAGTGCTGAAGAATTGATGCTTTTGAACTGTGGTGTTGGAGAAGACTCTTGAGAGTCCCTTGGACTGCAAGAAGATCACACCGCTCCTTCCTAAAGGTAAACAGTCCTGGATATCCCTTGGAACTACATGGTGAAGCTGAAGCTTTGATACTTTGGCCACCTGATGCGAAGAACTGACCCACTGAGAAAGACCCTGATGCTGGGAAAGATTGAAGATGAAAGGAGAAGGGGACAAAAGAGGATGAGATGGTTGGATGGCATCACTACCTCGATGGCCAAGTTTGAGCAGGCTCTGGGACTTGGTGATGGACAGGAAAGCCTGACTTGCTGCAGACCATGGATCACAGACTCAGACTCGACTGAGTGACAGAACTGAACTGACTGATATGTATAATTAATTATCTTTGCTGTATAGGAGCACACAATTGGAAAACAGTTATATTCCAATTAGAACTTTTAATA